GGGAAGAAGAGGGGCTAGCTTTAGATGTACTTATTTCTCTGTCATTTCTACAAGAGATAAAGCAGAATTATGACAGACTACTAGCGATCGATTGGATCAATGCTGGAACTTTCTGACAGACTCCGGCAAGAAAGGGGAAAAACTGTGTGGATAAACTGGCCATTACTCGAGGATGACTTCCGTAGGGGTCTCAATCAGCTCCATCCGGGCAAAAATTGTTGGTGGTCGTTGATATCATCTTCCCTGCTTCGGTCGACGTCAGTCCGGGGAGCCCGATTGGGACTGATATCACGCCGATAAGGGCTAGGGCAGGGGATCACACGTGGCAGACTACTGGTACGCCAGCTTGCAGCAAGGTCGAAGCCTGACTGCCTGACCGCCTTACTGCCTTACTGCCTGAATTGGTGGATCCAAATGTCACGCTCCAAATTAGGAAAGGTGTCGGACGGGGCCCGATTACTTGCTCCATACTTTCCTCTTTTCCTTCTCCCAATGTCACTTCGTCATCTGCATCTTCCCTTCAACAATGTCGGTCGGGTGACTCCCCAGCGCTTCCTGCTCAACTGTCCGAGCCAGCATCGTCCTTGTTCTTCTCGCCTGGGTGGGGATGTCGTGCTTTTCATTGTGCGTCGCGATGTCTGATAGGTCGGACGACAGGGCTCCTCAGAAGGGCGTCAAGCCCAGCCTACCTAGAGGACTCAGTACGGAATACAGTCTTCCCTTTCCAAGTTTTGAGTTGACGCTCGGCAGAATCATAATATCCTTCGCATTCCTCAGTTCTTGGATGTCATCACGAGTTCATAAAATGCGGGTCTGTTGAAGACACTGATCGCTTGAAGCGAACTCCGACTATCACTGGGCACCATCTGACCACTGCATAGTCCGGAGCTTCCTTTCTAAAGATAGCCTCCCCGGGCGCTTACAACCCGCCAATCATGCGAGGCTCCCCTCACCACTCCAGAGCTCCTGTTCGCCGACAGTCATTTTGAACAGGCATCAAGAACCTTGCACCATCTGATTGGCACAATGAAGCTCCCAGACCATTCTGTTGTCGCCCATCACAGATGGTCGCCCACTGAGATTCGTCCTTGCCGAAGCGCCGACTCGACCAGCACCAATGATAGTATCTTCAGGCTGCCTACCTGCAGGGATTTCGGGTGCTTTGTGCACAATGATGCAGTAGTTCCTGCATCTTGGGTGGCAGGTGTGAAGAGCACCGCGTCCGATCTCTCGCCTTCCCCTCCTTTCGGTGGTCTATTTATCAGTGTCCTGCGCTACCGATCGAAGATGATGATCTTCACCTAACCTTTTCTTGTCTCTTTGGCTATAGCTTCGTTTTTTATTTCTTTTTGCATCGTTTGCTCGTGCCTTAAGCTCTGGAAGCTGGGCCGTCAAGCGCTCCTGTCATTAATCACGTACTCGTCGACCTGTTGATCGGTGTTGAACGCCGCTGAGATACCCATAGAAGGCTCTTGTGGAGTTAATGGTTTGGTATTAGCCTTGATCTTGTCTTCGCACCACCTACTGTAATTGAAACCTTAGAAACTGGGAGCATATCTCACTACTTGAGCATTATGGCCGACATGCAGTACTCTACCGCCTCAGGTTGTCCACCCCTACGGCAGGTCCGGGGGACTCGACTCGATACTATACCTGAGGACTATCGCGAAACACAATACTCGGTACAGAAGGAGCAGGTCGCATCCGCTTCTCAGAAACCTGCAACAATTCCCCGACTGAAGTTGAAGACTAGCGGTCTATCGTCAGGGTTTCTGAGGCCGAATCGATTCTTCTCACCGATATCTGCCGGTTCTGTGTCATCCTGCTCGGACACGGAGTGGCAACAGCAGATGAAACCCTTTGAAGACCTCTACGATGCCACAGACGAGGAGTCGGTAACGAGTGACGAGTGTACTTCATTTGCTAGCACTCGGCCGACAAGTTTGACGACTCCAACGACGCGAAATTCCATGCTATCGCCAATTTCTCGTAAGCGCTATCCGAGTTTGGCCATTCCACCTTCGCCAGTGTGGCCATCATTGCAAGGTGCTTGCAAAAGCTCCCCCATTCCTCCGACGCCACCTTCCAAGATACCAGTTTCTCCAGCAGCTCTGTCAATGCTTGGTCGTTCTGTTCCTGCCGTGCATGCTCCACCCTCCCTGGATGGAAGTATATCCTCGGATCAGGTGTCGAATCTAAGCGCTCCGGCTACTCCAGATTTACAGTCAATCCCTGATCAGGACTGGGTCGTGCCAGGAGTTCATGTTCGACCAGACTTGGAAGATGTGGAAGACGTTGACCTCCCCGCACTCGATGCAGATCCAGATGTGCAGAGCATTGAGATCGCCTTCGATGCTGCTAGCGAAGATTTAGCTCAGGTCTTGGGCCGGTTTCCTCGCATCCCCGGTCAAGTGACGCCGCCTGCCTTCGATATGGACATGGAACCGGATCTGGTGCGGGGAGATACGCCGTCGGACACAGGAGTACATCTTCCCGAAGATGCCTTGGAAACTTTACGGCACCTGTCACTCAATAGAGTGCCAGATACTTGGGCCGAATCATCCGATAGCAACGACGAGATGTGGCAAGTTGAGACTCCACCTCAACGCCCTCGTAGTGCTGATGGTGTAACTCCTGCTTCTGAGCTTTCCGGTTATAGCTTCAGCAGGTTGAGCATTCCGTCTCCAGGTGGCTTCTTTGCTTCGTTAGCCCCACGTGCCCGCCATACCTGGGCGATCCCGAACGGAAACAAACCACCCAACTCTGCCACTGCTGAAAGGTTCTACAAGCTACCTTTTACCCGCACTGAGGGAGAGATTGTTGAGCAGGTCATTGATTATCCGGAAAGAGCGACGGACGAGGAGCTAACAGCAGTATATGATCCAAGCGGTCCACCAACTGCTATTAGAATTCCCGCGGAGCATGCCATTGAGCCTCTTGGCACGCTGAGGAGCCCCGTGAGCACGGTTGTTGAGGAGATGAATCAGGATCAGATGCCCGCTCCGTTGACAGATCAAGCCGAGCGAGATGAAGACTATGAAGCTGAACTCAAGAAGAAAGCGATGTCAGGCTTGGATAGGACCAGTGTTTGGCTGGCAGCTCAAGCTTCTTATCTAGCAGCCTTGAACGAGACAAACCCCGCCAATTCCATCGACAAGGAAAGTGGCAGCGAGATTGAGGCTCGTCAGAAGCCTAGTCAACAAGCTCCAAGCTCTCTTGCCCGCAAGAGATCGGCCAAATTCACTGGAGTTCTTCCCGCTGCCCCCAGTTCGCAACCTTCCGCTTTGGCAAGTAAAGATTCGATTTATTGGAGAGGGTTCCAAGCTCTACGCGATCAATCAAGCATCAAGGATATTCATGTACATCAACACGCTCGCTTTGATGCTGTCCAGTCTGTTCGTGTCGGTATGCCCGGCTTACACGTTGACTGTTTGACGGGAAAGTACGAGTTAATTCCTACTCAACGTCCTGCATACAAAGGACCCTTTTCGATGGCACCTCGCAATTCGACACTCGACTCGGCTCGGGTGCAGAAAGCTCAATTCTCCATAGTTGAGAAAGAGCAGTTGGTGCTGTCGCAGATCCGTCAGGCTATGTGGGCTATGGATGCACTGAAGTTTCTCAATGGCGGTCGCATGCTTGTCAGCCCTGCATCAAGAAAGCTTCGTGGCTCCAGCCGTTCGCCAAAAAGGTCAACAAATGCGAATCAATGCAGTGTTCGGGTTCTGGATCTTGGAGGGCATGCGTCGTGTGAATGGGCGTGGCAATTTGCCTATGACTATCCTGATGCCAAAGTCACAACGGTCTACACTGGTTCCCAGGAGGTCAATCGCGGCATCAAAGGACCTCCCAACCACCGACATGTTTCTGTTTCACAACTGTGGAAGCTCCCCTTTCCCGACAACAATTTCGATGTGATCTCAGCTCGTTCGTTGCCAGCTCTGCTGAAGAAAAAATGCCCGAGCGGAGAGCTCCTTGACGAATACGATCTGTGCCTGAAAGAGTGCCTTCGCTGTCTCAAGCCCGGTGGCTATCTGGAGTACTTCGTTCTAGATGCTGAGATCTTACACGCTGGCCCTCAGGGATCTGCCATCTCGGAGGAGTTCGTTGCCAATCTTCAGGCCCAAGGATATGATCCGATGCCGACCAAAAGCTGGCTTGGACGCGTACAGCAGCTCTTCACCGACATCAAGCGAGCCTGGGCCTTCCTACCAATGGGGATCGAGCCCACCAAGACTGAGCCACCCAGAGAGACGCCGGATCCGAGAGTCAAGAGTCTTGCTGGGGATTACGAAGCGATACAAGGTCCTGTCGGTAGTACTGCTGACATTGCCAGTATCACGGGGCTACTAGGCGGATGGTTTTGGGAACAGTGGTGTGTCAAGCTGCAGCAAGAGATCGGAATCGAGCGGGAGAATTTACTCGCAGGAGTAGGCGCTGTGTTCGATGAGGGCCGCAAGAACGGAGCAGGCTGGACCTGTTTATCCGGATGGGCGATGAAACCACGGCGCCAGAGACGTCGTGGTGGTCAACCGAAGGGCAGGGGGGTGAGGAGCCCTTGCATGTGATTCTTTCCTTTTATTTTGGATGTAGACCCAGGAGGTTCATTCCGTCCTTCTTGATACCCCCTATCTGCCCTGGTCGGCGAAAGTTAATGTAATAATCGTGCCCCTGGAGCCTCTCCATGACGATGGTGAGCTTCAGGCGTGCTTTCTTATGTGTGACGTGTTGATGGTTGGATGTGAAGAGAATGTTTGGGATGGATACTCTATCTGTCCTAATTCCGAAGCGATGTTAGACAATTAGCCTATAGCCACACTGACAGGAAGTGATGATGGTCGCCTAAACAATAAAATCTCCTCTTCGGAGGCTTCCAATTCTCGTATACTTGAAACGAAAGTTGTCTACAGTGGCTGCATCAGGTGTGTAGTTGCAGAGTCTACAAGTAGGCGTGCTAGGGTACTAGGCATAATAATCACGACTTCTCTGCTTGAGCTACTCCCCCCCCCAAGGATATATGCTTTCCCGGGAGCCCTGCGCGTGCTCAATCGAGATGCGCGCTGGCCGGTCATTTCCAGGAGTGGAGATGATGAACAAGATGCTAACGACGATTGCAACTAGTGTGACGTATCTCTTTGTACTGTGTATTGGGAGCTAGAGGCATGAGCAGCTCAGGCTGCGTTGCATGGAAGAAGATGTCAAGGCGAGAGAAATGAAAAGGGTGGGTGGGGTGCAGCGTGGCGCAGAGTGATTGCAGGGGTCTTATAACGTGCTGCTTGATGTAATCCACATCAATAGCCCGGATGGTCTAGTGGTATGATTCGCGCTTCGGGTTCAGTACTTGAATATGCGCGAGGTCCCGCGTTCGAATCGCGGTTCGGGCCCATTTACCTTTGTTTTTGTTTTGCCGAATCTCCTTTCTACACGAACAAAGTGGAAAACGCACCCTTCTTTTTACTTACCTTCTTTCACTGCCTCGCCTCTGAGCGGCGAGACAGGCGCCCGGCCAGAATAATGATCATGAGGCAAAAACATAGTGGATGAAACACCGACTAAGGCGCTGCTAACGCCACCAGTTGCAAAGCAGGCGCTCGATTTTGATAAGCACGGCTGGAAAAAGAAAAGGTAGTAGATCCAGCAAAAACAATAGTAATGTTTGATTTGCCAAGAAGCAAAAAGGATATATGGGCCCGAACCGCGATTCGAACGCGGGACCTCGCGCATATTCAAGTACTGAACCCGAAGCGCGAATCATACCACTAGACCATCCGGGCTGTGATGATGTCATGGTCTATGTCTTGCAAATGTCATTCCTGCCAACTTACAGTGTGAAAGATAGTGCTGCTCCCGGTGCAAGTAAAGTGGTCCATGTTTACTCACATTTACAATTATTGGTGTCAGGCTCAGTGCTGGTGTCCTTGGCCCCATGATGGATTTTTTACCTTCAGGGAAACATCGTAGTGGAGAGGAGGGGTGCAAGGAGGGGGGAGAGGGCAGAAGCCTGCAATTGATCACAGGAAACACCTTCGACAAGCCTGGATTCGTTTCACTCATTGGCCAAATTTGCGCATCCTGCCGACCTGGTTTGTTTCCAGGCACGTTACTCCATGTGTTGCCTATGCGCTAGGATAAGCTGTGTGGCTGAGATCGAGGTGAGCTGAGAGAAGAAAATGATGCAATAAGGACCGCTATTGACGTTTATAGAGATCTCGGGCGCACGCTCTTCTGCCCTACCAGCAAGGTCCCTGGCAATATGATACAGTGTCATTCGGCGAGCTGTGCTGTGCTTCCTCGAGGAACAAGAGCCAGCATGGGAGACTGCAGAGGCTTGCTGGTGGTTGGTGTATATACTCGCCGATGGGAGTACACAACATGTTGCCTGCGATCTTCTATCGCCATTCCCGGGTTTTCCCCGGTTGGCGATGGAGAATAAAAGTCCCGTCGTGTATCACTGCATGTCGGTGGCCCTGCTGCGTAACTTCCCCATAAGAAGATTGGTTGTTTCATATATACCTGTCATGGCTTTCTCGAGCTCTATTGCAAGTCTGGACAAGATTTCGACATGACCATTGCACGCTTTCTCGATCCCCATAGCAATGAAGTCCACAGTGCTCGCAATAATCATTCCAGGAGTCCTGGGGTTTAGGGCCGAAACAGGCGGTTTATTGGAGGAAACTCTGGTATGCTGGCAGGCACGAAGCACTAGTGCTCTTCAACTGACTCCAGGACCGTCGACAGAATCTACCCCTGCCTATGATCCAGAACCTTTCAACGTCCAACAGCTTTGTTCCTAATACCACAAACTCATGGTGGTCATCCTCCTACGTTCATGCATCTAACAACCATGATTACTTGATCGTCTCCCAATGTTTGCTGATGAACGCTGGCTTGTACCGAGGCTCCATCCTTGATATCACCGACCCGAGCTTCTATCGCCAATTCGAGCGTTTCGCAACTGGCCCCCTTACAGATCCAGGTCTGAGTAGCGGTGGCATTCTCAACATCACCTTTGAGCAGTATGGCTTCCACACGACAAATTACGACGATCCACTCCAGGAACTACGCACCTGGAGTGCCGTCGAGGGCGTGGAGTTCGACATACGAATTCATCTCTCTACGCCCGTGATACTCAACGGCGGCACCGGTCTCTTCCAATGGGGCTCCGAGTTGACCCACGAATGGTCCATGCCTGCCGGTCTCACGCTGGGCAGCTTCGTCGTCAACGGCTCCCGACTGACCATTGATCCTACGCGGTCCCTAACCTGGTACGACCGGCAGTTAATGTGGCCGAATACACTGGCGAAGGTGGCAAACAAGGCCAATTGGACGTGGTTTGAAGTGCACCTTGACGACAACTCCCACAACAACAACGCGCCCACTGGCAGAGCCGACAAACTGTCGATCTGGGTGTGGGACACCACCGACCATCGCCGTACGCAGTTTGCAACGGCCCGCCACCGCCCGGGCATTCACCAGGTCCTGCCTGTCACTGCGTTTGTCCCATCTCGAAGAACCTGGACCTCGCCGGTTTCGAAGGCCACTTACCCTCTGGACTGGGTGGTTACCCTCTGGGATGGAACTACGCTGTCGATCTCAAGCGTGCGACCGGACCAGGAGCTTTGTGATGCAACGGGGCTCTCGCCTACATACGAGGGTTATATTCAAGTCAATGGTTTTGATGGAGACGGTCGAATGATCTCTGGGTATGGTCTGGTTGAACAGGTTCCCGCCGGGTTTCTTCCGGCCATGACGCTGTCGAGCGAAGAGTGATGATATTGGGAAATTCCCTTTGAGTATGTTCTTGAGTCAGCTGCAGCTGGTATGCTGTGTATCTGATACTTGTTGCCTGTTGGGTCACGTATCATATTTGTCCTATGCAGGAGCATGCTGTGGAAGAAAGATTGAGTGTCGCCACATTTTATATGTTGAGAGGCCGCGGTTGGGCTTGAACAATCTCCGAAATTCCATCTCAACCACACACCCTCTAATAGACCAAAGAAATTGAGCAAGCAACCCAGTCTTCATATATGCATGGCTTGTTCGACAAGTACCCTATATTCAAGTGATTGTGTAGCAAGCAGGATGTATTGAGGCGTGGGTGAAACAGTAAGGCTTACTAAGAAATGAGTCATCGAAGCGATAGCTGCCTCACGTGTCGGCTCTGATAATCGCAGAAACACCCGACAGTATCAATCAACTTACCCGCACAGGACTTATACAATTCGTTCATAACTCGATTCTTTCTTTTGCTCTCTTGTCTCAAAGCTCCCGGAAGAGCTTCTGTATTTATCCCATCTCTGTCTCCTGTTAGTAGCGACCCAGATTGCTTCCTCACATGCTGAATTGACCCCCGATAAATTGCGCCGAACATCCCCTCCCCCACACGCAAGACAGACAAGCTAGTCGACCGCAATCATGCTCTTCTTCAGGTAAATGGCTCCTGCGCGCCGCTACCCACCTATCGCTACCCCCTCACTCTCTCCATCACGTCAATGAGTTACTAACGCCGAACCCCAAAACAGTTTCTTCAAAACCCTCACCAATCAGACCGTCACCATCGAGCTGAAAAACGACATCCGCATCCGCGGCACCCTCAAATCCGTCGACCAATACCTGAACATCAAGCTCGACAATGTCGATGTCCTCGACCTGGACAAATATCCGCACCTGTCGTCGGTCAAGAACATGTTCATTCGGGGTAGTGTGGTGCGCTATGTGATGTTGCCGCGGTCGGAGGTGGATATTGGACTGTTGGAGGATGCGACGAGGAGGGGTGAGTTTCCCCCCCCCCCCCCCCAATTGTTTTGCGGGAGCTTCGAGAATAGGGGACACGATCATGCTCCGAGCCGGGAATGCCGGAGAGGCAGACATAACGATCCGAGATTCATTGAATAGTGCGCTAATTCTCTTTTGTCCGCTAATATAGAAGCTGCGAACCAGGCTGGGAAGGCCAAATAAGCGGGACAGATGAGAGAGATGACTTGAGCGACAGTGGGAGGATTTGAAGCGGAATTGGGAGGATCTGGATTGATATCGGACCTCGAGAGGACATATCCTCCGGGCTTTATGCTTTGGCCCCTTTCCTAAAGGGCGCATCATGTTATGGCACGGTCTACACTTTTTTTTTACGTTTCTCTTTTTATAATTCTATCATGATGTCATGCTGCACTGTTTCGTGGGAGATAGAGGGCTTTGTGCTTTATGCATGCTGGCCTGGTGATGGAGCTGATATTGCGGTGTGTATGGTGGTGACGAGGATTGGGTAAGGATAGCCCAAGGCTGGGAGGCAACGTTGATGATACGTTGACAAAGAAGAGAATGCGGACGGGGTGATGCTGGTCATGGGAGATGAATGTCGGGTTGACTTTATCTTCGAATATCTCTTCCTTCAACCATGTTTGGGGTGAGCTTGCAGGCATCGATGCGGGCAGGGCACAGGCTAGCCACACAGCGGCCACATGCCCAACATCAGCACTATACTTGGAGGACCTATGCTCTTGGCTCTTCAACAGGCGGAAAGTGCTTGATGATTCAGTCGGCGGTCTGGTCTCATCCTGCTTAATCGACAGATACCTATTCCAGGTCTAGCTCCAGCATCAGACATGACTATCTCGCTTATGTCGCAAGTCAACATTTATATTCGATCGAATCCCTTCAACCTCTAACCCTAGCATACTCGGCGGTCATTCTCCATTAGGAACGAAGACATAAATTATGCAGGACTAAAGTCGCACTGCTTACATAAAGGTCTTATGCACAGCAGGAGGGTGACCCCGCATTACTGACATTCAGGCATGACCAAAGGGAGGAATATTGTAGATTAGAGTATCTTGTACTAATTGAGCTCTTCTGATTTGAAGGATATGTAATGAGAACTCAACATGCACACATATAGTCTAATCTGAACATGAATTCAGTTATATCTATTTATTCTTTGTCCAACCATGATTGACATCATTGAGACAGTTGAAGCCATCATTTAATGGGTTGAATGCACGTGACTTCGTGTCGTGAAAATCGTCGAGGACGAGATCCCGCCGCGCCGCGCCTTCACCTTCCGCTTTCCGTCCTTGAGCTTCAACCTACAGTCGTTCCTGTCTGCTAGATAATGCAACAGATTTTCTTCTATATCCAAATTTATACTCTCTTCCATACTTCGGATATACGAACATGCCAATTGACCTATCCTTGACCCAATAACCGTACCACACCTCCCTCTCGTCCCGATAGACCCTCTCGCATCTTCGAGGGACCAACAGCAGCATGGCAGGATCCGCCACCAGAAAAGGCTCAACGCCAGCCAAGATCCCCCTCGGCGCCAAATCTCAGACCCCCGCGAAGCGAAACGGCAGTCTGCTGAACTTCTTCCAAAAAGCCGACGGACCGCCCAAAGCCACCTCCACCCAACCCCGAATCACTCAATTTGCCACCAAGACCGCCCGGCCGACCAGCAATGGCCACAGCAGCACACCGACGCTGCGCAGACAAGGGAGCTCCACAGCCAGCAACGGCGCAGGCGATCTGTTCCTCGAGGACAAAAACCGGAACCGATCCGCGACCTACGCAGCCCCCGAGCCGCAACGGACAGCACGGTCGAGAACTCCCGACGATATCTGGGAAGGCGAGCCGGAAACGCCGGCGCCAGCGACAGCAGCGACCGAGGAAGACCGCTACAACGAGAACGGATTCTCTGGCGTCAAGAAACGCAAGCTTGATTCCCCGCCCGCCGCCGGCGACGACGCAGCAGCAGCAGCAGCACGAGCGAAGCCGTCCGATGCCAACGCTACCCTGGTAGCGGCGCCCGCGAAGAAATCCCGTCACCTTAGTGGTCCCTTCATCGACGAATCCGATAGCGAGGAGGAAGAGGATCTGGAGAAGTTCCGTGATTACGCGGATGGGCCATCGGTCGCATCAATAGACAAGCCCACTGCCAATGCGACAGAATCGCCCGTCGACACCGAGGAAGCAGATCCCACAGCTAAAACACGACCGACGCCCGCTGTCGAGACACCACCATCCTTGGTAAGAGAAACCACGAGCTACACCGAACCTGATGAATATACGAATTTTGACGATATGCAAGACGAGTTCCGAGGGGAAGAGAATTTCTTAGATGCCTTTGATGATGATTATGATGATGACGACGAACATGATAATCAAGTGAAGGAGGTTTTGATTGGATTGGAGGATTATAGTAATGGCCTGGATGACGACGGAAATACGTTTGGCTGTGAAGTGCCCATTTGTCCGATCTGTCAGACTAGTTTGACTGGTCTGAATGAAGCTGTAAGTTGTTCCGGTTACGAATTGCATGGGCAGTATGGTAACAGTTATTTTGTTCAGGATGTCTCGGTGCACGTCAATGACTGCTTAGATGGCAAGCCTAGTACAATACAGCCAAAACCCGATCCTGCGGTCAAGTCTGAGCCTGAGATCGAACCAGATCCCGAAATCGAGCTTGAACCCGAACCGCCATCGAAAGCACTGACTCGTTCGGACCGGGCAGCGATTGCTCGCCCCGCACAACGTGATCCTTACGCTTCCGGCGAGGCTGGGGCCAGGTCAGCCTTCTCTAAGCTCATGGCTGGAAATGCGGAGGATAGCGCCTGGGCAGCAGCAGCAGCCAATGAAGTGGCATCCAGAGGCAAGCAGGCATATCAACGGACCTGTCCGTTCTACAAAATCATGCCCGGGTTCTCAATATGCGTGGACGCGTTTCGCTACGGTGCTGTCGAGGGCTGCAATGCTTACTTTCTGAGTCACTTTCATAGTGACCACTACATTGGCCTTACGGGTTCATGGCGACACGGTCCAATTTACTGCAGTCGTGCGACAGCCAATCTCGTGTGCCAGCAGTTGAAAGTCAATCGTAAATGGTTGGTGCCACTCGAGTTTGAGAAAAGGACGGAGATCCCTGGCACGGGCGGAGCACATGTGACAATCATCGAAGCGAACCATTGTCCAGGAAGTGCCATTTTTCTTTTTGAAAAGACCATGGGATCTGGCCCATCGAAACGAACGCATCGGGTGCTTCATTGCGGAGATTTTCGCGCCTCGCCGCTCCATGTGCAGCATGCACTCTTGCGCCCGGAGGTTGTCGATCCCACCACAGGTCAGCGTCGTCAGCAACATATAGATGCTTGCTACCTAGACACCACGTATTTGAGCCCCAAATACGCCTTTCCAAGCCAGGAAGACGTCATACAGGCTTGTGCCGATCTTTGCGTGGAGCTGAACGAGGGACAGCAGAAAAGTAGCGGGCTTGCTTTCGGCTCATCAGGTCGCTCGCCTGGGATCGGGGGAGGGTTGATGAGCAAGTTCGTTTCCAAAGTGACAGGCTCTTCGGGGTCGCAGTCTTCGACATCGAGCTCAAGTGGCCGATTGCTGGTGGTGATCGGGACCTATAGCATTGGGAAAGAACGTATCTGTCTGGGAATCGCACGCGCTCTGAAGAGCAAAATTTTCGCCACCCCAGCCAAACAGCGGATCTGCGCCTGCCTGGAGGACCCAGAGCTGTTAGCGCTGTTGACGGATAACCCACGCGAGGCACAGGTGCATATGCAGACCTTGTTTGAGATTCGAGCGGAGACGCTGGCTGACTATTTGGACACGTTGAAGCCGCACTTCACGAAAGTGGTGGGCTTTCGACCGACCGGCTGGACGTACCGACCGCCCGCGGGACGTATGCTGGATAACCCTCCTGTGTCGACGGTGCTTCATTCGGCACATTGGCAGACACCGTTTTCGGCACGCGACCTCGTGCCCCAACGGGGCAGCACGCGGGAAAGTGCCTGTTTTGGGGTGCCGTACAGCGAGCACAGCTCGTTCCGGGAACTGACCATGTTCTGCTGCGCCCTTCGGATCGGACGGGTCATCCCGACCGTGAATGTGGGCAGTCAGAAGAGTCGTGAGCGCATGAAGGCGTGGGCTGAGCGATGGGAGGCGGAGAAACGGAAGAGTGGTCTGTACCAGGTCAAAGGCGAGCGGTGGTGACGCAGGGTAGCATTACTGTACATAATCTCATTGGACTCCGGACTTGTACATACATACCTTAGTAGTAGGAGGTTTCCAAACTCATGGACATAGGACACGAAGTCCCAATGAAGCAATATGCAACGAGCACGATCTCATTGGCAGAACCCTCCTGGGAGACTGACGTTCATCTCCATTCTGACTGGTTTGTGCATCCCAAATGCATGAAATAGACTTCAATCTATCCCTGGATCGACAATCAACGGGGCTGATCCTGTTCCCCCACAAAGGAATAACCGTGATACCCGAGAGTTCAGCGGGGAGGAGATGTAGATTCGGGGTTGGAGATCGGCTGGGGAGAGGCAGCCAGTGCCAGCCGCAGTAGTCGAGTCCGGGCTGTCACTCCCGATTTATCTCCCGGCTGGTTTTGATAGCCTCGGGGAAAGTTGTCCCTCCTTTCCCTTTTAAATCCCAGACCCTTCGGTCAACCCTCTATCAATCATCTGTCAACCTTCCTTTTCATCCTTTGATTCTTTGATGCTTATTCTGTAAGATTTTGTCTTTCGATTCTCTCGATTAGGGACAATACCGGGAGTCTTCGCGAGGTAAGTGAGCGTGTGCCCAAAATAAATGCTGGGAATTCCGGCAAGGGATTCCCATTCCGTTCCTTCGGCAGTTGAGATCGGCTGTCATTCCTCCCTCACAATTCCACAATTCTTCCCTGTTAGTAGCAATTAGACTAACTGTCAGCCCACTCCCCCTCAGTTCACTACTCTATTACTCTATTACCCCGGATTTTCGTCGAATATCCAATCAGACCGGTCGGCCGCCATGATTGCCGACCTGCTCTCGCTGCAGGCCACCCCTTACCTTTTCTTGGGCTTGGTGGCCATCTACTATCTCCTCCCCTACTTACAAGTCTGGCGTCTACGTGATATTCCGTCTCCTGGCTTCGCTGCCTTCTCCAACTTCTGGCTCCTCCTCCAAACCCGTCGCGGATCCCGTTTTCTCGTTGTCGATGATGCCCACAAACGCTATGGCAAACTCGTCCGCATCGCGCCCCGCCATGTCTCCATCGCCGATGACAACGCGATCCAGGCTGTTTACGGTCACGGAAATGGTTTCTTGAAGGCGTACGTTGTCTTTTATATATTTTTATGGGATCCGACTCACGCAAGTCATACAGGGACTTTTACGATGCCTTTGTTTCCATCCGTCGCGGTCTGTTCAACACACGCGACCGTGCGGAGCACACCCGCAAGCGCAAGACCGTCTCGCACACCTTCAGTATGAAGTCTATTGGCCAGTTCGAGCAGTACATCCACGGCAACATTGAGCTTTTCGTTAAGAAGTGGACGAACATGGCCAACACCCGGCGCGACCCCCGCACCGGCTATGCCAGTCTCGATGCTCTCAACTGGTTCAACTATCTGGCTTTCGATATTATCGGAGATCTTGCTTTCGGTGCTCCCTTTGGTATGCTTGAGAAGGAGCAGGATATCGCTGAGATGCGCAAGACTCCGGATTCTCCTCCTTCCTATGTCCAGGCTGTTGAGGTGCTCAACCGTCGTGGTGAAGTCTCCGCCACCCTCGGCTGTTATCCCGCGCTGAAGCCGTTTGCCAAGTACATTCCCGACCGCTTTTTCAGGGATGGTATGGAAGCCATTGAGAACCTGGCTGGTATTGCTGTCGCTCGAGTCAACGAGCGTCTGCGTCCCGAGGTGATGGCCAACAACACTCGCGTGGATCTCCTTGCTCGTCTTATGGAAGGAAAGGACGGGAATGGTAACAAGCTTGGTCGCGAAGAGTTGACTGCCGAGGCCCTGACCCAGTTGATTGCCGGTTCCGATACTACCTCCAACACCTCCTGTGCTATCCTATACTGGTGCATGCGCACCCCTGGTGTGATTGAGAAGCTCCACAAGGTTCTCGATGAGGCAATTCCCAAGGACATCGAGGTGCCCACTCACGCTATGGTCAAGGAGATTCCTTAGTACGTTTCCTCCCTCTTATCGTTGTCATTTACAGGTTCTAACTACCGCACAGCTTGCAATGGGTCATCTGGGAGACCATGCGTATCCACAGCACCTCGGCGATGGGTCTTCCCCGTGAAATTCCCGCTGGCAACCCTCCCGTCACTATCTCCGGCCACACCTTCTACCCGGGCGACATTGTCTCTGTGCCGAGCTACACTATCCACCACTCCAAGGAGATCTGGGGCCCTGACGCCGACGACTTTGTCCCCGAGCGTTGGGACCCTGCCCGTCTCACCGCCCGCCAGAAGGCCGCGTTCATTCCCTTCAGCACCGGTCCCCGTGCCTGCGTTGGTCGCAACGTTGCTGAAATGGAGCTTCTCACCATTTGCGGTACCGTGTTCCGCTTGTTTGAGTTCGAGATGCAGCAGGATGGACCCATGGAGAGCCGCGAGGGCTTCCTGCGTAAGCCTCTTGGGCTGCAGGTTGGCATGAGAAGGAGACAGATCGGCGCTTAGCTTGGTGCTACACAATTGGGCTAGTGCGTTTGAGTTGGATTTGGCGAACCGAAATTGCATGTTTGAGGGAAGGATGGATGTCATTATGTATAGATGGATGATATGATGAGATGACAATCTAGCTATGAGATAGCTCTGCACATATATATGTACTTTTATGTTGTTTGACGTGTATACGCATTCTAGGCATTCAGCCGTGAAAGATATGAATTGTCTGTGCGCGAGTAGAAATTGGATATTAGATCGGGGCTGCATCGAGAATGAAGAGGATATCCCATAGTATTGCTGGACAACTTGTTGGCTACCTTATTCGACGGGCAGATCGCCGATATCAGAGTGATATACTAGATCTCTTTCGATCGAGTGCGAGACAGAGTACACGTCGATTATGTACATAGTGAGAATACTCATCATGGATGATACGTAGCGTGGGTTCCACAAGCGGTAATTACCACGCTGATCATCGTATTCTCACTTTTTAGCCTCGGAACAACCACCACCACCACCACCACCATCAGCAATCAAAACCTCAACCGCACCTCGCAAGAAGACTATCTGCATAGCACATTAATCAAGTCCCACCAACAGCCCCACAGAATCCGCATTCGCGATGTCCACCCAAAGCATGGTAAGTAACCGACCCTCACCTCTCGTCGCTGAGGATTCTTGCACAGAATACTAAACTTCCCAACCAGTCCGTCCAATTCCGCTACGCCGACGACATGGGATTCGGCACGGAGGAGACCCGCGATCAGGTGAAGAGGTATGGTATAAGTACCAGCCTGTGCTGGGAACCCCTTATCGCTGTGTCACATTGATCAACACCAGCCGACTACAGGATCATCCAAGCAGACACCGGCTCCGACATCTGGGCGAGTACGCGGAATATCCCCCCGACTCACTTTTTGACGTAAGTTTCACCCTGAAAATCGTTGAGTTTATGGAAGGGTGGGGGAAGAGGAGGGAATTGTCGGTTTTGGCTGAGATTGCTTATTTGTTTTGAATGGGGGTTCAGACTTTCTGGGAAAGCAGTTGAGGAGCTGCGGGCGGTGGATGGGGTGGTGGTCTTGCGGGCTGAGGGGGTGGATTCTTCCTAGTGATGGACCGCTGGTATTTTTGGTTGGGGGGGGGTTATTGTCGCTATTAGCAGTATGCATGTGTATAAGATTATATGGTGCTTCTTATGGCTCACTGAAGAACAACACTACTACCCAACTCTCTAGCTGTGAATAAGCTTTGCTTATAATGTAGTACAACTCATTCCCCCTCAATCTCTCCCCAAACCCACCTCAACGCCACCCTCCACTCTTCCTCCTCCCCTTCGGCCTTGAGGATGTCACACACCGTCTGCAACACCTGTCGCCCCCACCCAGCAATCCACCACCGGTGCCGCAGCGCATGCAGCACTACGCAGTAATGCGCGAGAATGACTAGTGCCAGCGGTCTGCGGTGCCGCAGGAGGTCGAGAAACCCGGTGGGTAAGGAGCAGATCCAGAGGAAGCTGGCGGAGACGAGATCTTTAGGGGTGGTGGAATCGTTGCCGTCGTGCTCTGCGAGGAGGTGGGCGAGGTGGGTGATGGTTGTGAGGTAGATTAGGTGTTCTCCAGAGGGGTAATCTCCAGAGGAGGAGGTGGAGGAGCGGGTCAGGGAGTGGTTGAGGTGCTGGAGGAGGATTGTGATTGCTTGGCGGGAGGAGGGGGATAAGTTTGGGGGCAGATGGTTCTTGAGGGTGTTGGTGTTGTCGTCATGATCGAGGTGGAGAAGATCCCCCATCTCGCTTGTGCGGAGGTGCGGGATGGTCGGCGTGGAGAAGGCCATCATTTTGTGGATGTGGGTGAAGATGTTGAGGAGGTCATCGAGGGCGTTTTGATGATGGTCTTGTGTGACTGCTAGGGGGAAAGCAAACGCGAAGCCTACTAGTAGGCAGGAGAGGGCGAAGGTGGTGGTTTTGTTGGTGTCGGTGTCGGTGCTGATGGAGAGGGCTTGGGTGAGGAGGGTGATCGCGGCGCTTTGGTGGTGTTCTGCCGCTGCTATCAGGCTGCTTTTCTGGTGGTCTTGGCTAGGTGCTAAGGTGGACTGCTGCAGGGCGAGGTGGAGGGAGGAGACGGCGAGGAGGCCGTGGAAGAGCTGCGGGCATCTGAGGGCTTGTTGTGGGATCACGGTTTGCCAGATCCGGCCGTCGATCGGCGTGCGGGCGATGGAGTGGCAGGTAGAGGTGGTCCAGTTGAGAAAGAGGGGGTGGTGATGAGGTGAGGTCTTGATAGGTGGGAACGATGGGGGTATTGGTGTCATCAGGAGAGGGTCTTGGTGAGTGCCCTTCAAGTTTGCCGGTCTGGTCATAGGGTTTGGGGTTTGTCGATGGAGCGCCGGGCCCCGGGTTGATGCCGATGCTGTACGGTTTGCATGGGCTACATGAATGGATTGCTGTGTCCAGAGCCAGGGCCCTGAGGCAGCATAGTGGCAGATCTCTTGTCGCTTAATGCAATTGGAGCAATCAGGCCGCTTTTCGTCGCACTATACGGCATGATCATGGAACAGTAAGCAGAGGCTACCTTATCTTCAGACACCAGGGCTGGTCCGCTTTTAACCTGCCTTGACACTTCGCTGTTTGCATCGCAGACAACCGTGGTGCGACTTTTTCTTCTGTTCCCTCTTCTGGCCACCCATGAGGACACTATGCTTTACGAAGCCTACTTATTAATGAGGTTTGGATTGGTATGGTGGTGATTTGCAAGAGGAGAATTGGTGACGAAAAGAATTCATGCTCCCCCGCAAGAAGTCAAACCTGGTCCTGTGATGACTAAGTTTTTCTTTACTTTTGGAACAATCTGTCATTCTAAAACCAACTACACATCTTCAAAACAAGGAACTAACGCGACTCAGCGCCTATACCACATCCGAGTCAATTTTCTATGCCGAATTTTCTTTTGCACCAAGGAAATCCCATACAACAACGCTTCGGCCGTTGGCGGACCTATAGAGTCATCAGTCATCGGCAAGCCCTTCATGGAACCTCTAGCCCGCGGAGGATAGCACTCACATCCTGGTACATATACATCCACCGGAACAATCCGATCGCAGCCTCGGACCACAGAGTAACTATAGTGATAATACCCACCCCCATTCGCGCAGCTTCCCATATTGATCACAAATCGTGGTTCGGGCATTTGATCGTATACCTGTCGGAACGCTGGCGCCATCTTGTTCGTCAGCGTGCCGGCCACGATCAGAAGATCCGCCTGTCGAGGGGAGGCCCTAAACAGCATTCCCAGGCGTTCTATATCGTAGCGAGGACCGGCCGCATGCATCATTTCCACGGCACAGCACGCCAGGCCGAAGGTCATGGGCCACAAGGAGCTCTGAAGTGCCCAGTTGGCTACCTGGTCCAGGGTGGTCCTGGACACATCTCAGTCAGACGGGGCTGGCGGAGAGGAATTGAAGGTCTGTGAGAGTACTGACAGGGCATATTGAATGGAGCTTTGGTCTTGATCGTGCGTCGCAAGGGCGACTTCTTTTCGGGGACTTCCACTGGCCGTCAGAGACGAGTGAGGTCGCTTGTTAATCGGTCTTTGGTATTGGAACGGCGTAACTCTCGTGCTGTGCAGAAGCTGCAAGCTTCCTTGAGAAGTGGAATATGTTAGAAATCGGATTCGAGAGTCGTCGCTTATCGCACCTCTTACCTGCTATAGATCTTCGAAAGAGGGGCATATCGTAGGGTACTTGGGGTGAAGGTTTCGGCGCAAGCCACGAGTGTTGAAAAGCATTTCGGAAAAGCCCTCGTCACAGCCCATATATCTTATTGAGATCATGGTCTAATAATGGCAACTCAGCCAGCTGCTAATTCTTTCGGCTGTGAAATGAAGCCAGGCACTGTACTTTGGCTGCAAAGAGTATATCTTACGAGTGTTACCGCTAGTAAGATAGTTGGTCGACATACCACATTAGGCATTAATTACGAGATTTTCCGTAGTGGCTCGTTGTACCAGACAATACATACCCCCGAGCACCCTTCTTCGTCTATCTTTTCGAATCCACTGGCTTCATCTCGATCGTCTCATACCGCAACGACCATTCTCGGGTCTCCTGAATGATCCACTCTTGAGAGTCTCGATGACTCGAGTCTCCCACAGCCGTTCTGTCCCAATTCTTTTGCCGCGAGGCTTCCGATCCTCCTTTCCCCGAAGCAGCATGAGACCTTTCCACAGTCGCTGATGCCGTGCTGGGCTGATGGTAATAGCTACTACCATCTTGTCCAACTGTGCCTTGACCCCAACCAGTGTTAAACGCCACAACGAACGGTTTGAGACAGGGCAATGTCGCTGCCATGATACTGCAATGCAAGAGGACTTGAGTTAGGATGACTGCGTCGGAGATGTCGAGAAGGAGGTCGTTGGTATGTGCAATGGTGTCTAGCGTGGTTTGCCGCACGATAGAAAGGATGACAATTCTAGGCATCCAGAGATCAGAAGCTGACTTTCATCAAGGCAGGGGACTTTTGAAAGAGTAGACGCCCTACCCGATTCTCGTCCCAAACGCGCCAATAACACCAGCCTTCCGCATTCGTGTCAAGCGGACCGGCCAGACAAGATATAAACTGAGGATAAGTAACGAAAGTTCGGTTATGACATCTAGAACGGTAATAGCTTTCCAGCGAGCGAGCTAGGATTGTCGTCAACTTGGAAGCCATTCACAGACCGAGCAAGGACTTACTATGTTCGCACATTGGTCGATGAGCCACGGGTGACGAAATGGACATTTCAAAGAGATGATCAAGATCGATACCACCGCCCATAGGACAATGCCCGCCATCACTCCCACGCATGCCCTCAGATATGATCTTTCTCTTCCCAGACGTTGCAAGAGAAAGAGAACCGACAGTTTGGCTGCACAATGGCCAGCCAGGAACAGAAGATTTGTAGCATATAAATCCTAGACGAGTCAGTCAAGCCGGCGCACAATGCTCGGTCTGTTATTCCATCAAGTGGAGTATACCTGTTCAGCGAGGTCGATTTGAGGCGCCCTTTGGTGGTTCTCTGTGCTTCCCAATCCATCGTTGACACCTTTCATCGTTACCCCGACATCAGCGATCCCCATCATCTATCCACATACTCAGGTCTCAGTATATTTCAGATCTGTCGCGTTACCCAGATATCTGGCGCATGGCTCAGTACTCACAGCACCAAATATAGCCATCAGATCGTCCAGTCCCCACGGCCCTATGATAGCCAAGCGCATGTAGATGCGAAAGAGGCTGACCAGGACCATCCAAGACATGAAGAGAGTGGCGACAACGACCACCAGACCACGACGGTCTGTGTCGGAGATCATATAGGCTGCTTGTGGCATATCGACTAATCCATACTTCTGCTGTCGCAGTGGCAATGTGATTGTGCTTGGGAGCAGCGAGAGACCTTTCTGTCAATTTGCAACTGGCTCATGTTTGATAAAATCGGAGATTGACACCACCCCTATTCGACAACATTGCCAAAACTCTTTGATCCTTGTCCACTGGAGTCGGTCGAACATAACCGAGGAAAAATTCGCGCAGACCGGGGTGCGTCTCCCCATTGTCTGATCTAAAACCGGACTAACAGGGATGGATATAAGTAATTAATTATGCCATCTACAGAAACGTGCTGAGCAGTGCCCTCCTGCAGCGAAATTCGTGGCACAGTCAATCTACATAACGACGGGGATTTTAGTGTGCATAAGTGCCGTTGCATTTGCAGGGATACTGCGGGATAAGCACTTTGGGAAATTGGCCCGCGGAGGTCACACAATCAATTGTTCCCAACCCTAAGTTTTAGCTGCTGATGGACCACTTCAGTATATTAATCTTACCCGTCAATGGAATGTCCAGACCTGCCGGCTCATGGACACTCCGTGCTATGATGGTCACGTTAAGTAGGGGGGATCCCCTCCTCCGGGAATTGTGCGCTCCTCTCTGCAGTCTACCCTCGGCTTAAGTACTCTCACCCGCGCATTCAGCCATAATGTCGACTACCACGGAGAAGGCACCGGATTTTTCTACGTACTCATCCCCTGGCGAATATGAGAGTTCCACGACTACGAGAAAAGATGGCACGGTACAAGATCGAAAGGATATGTGGCGTGTAGGCAGAGAACAGGAATTGAACGTGAGCATACCACCTTGGTCAATGCAGCCTGTGAATGAGATCTAACTTGATCAGCGAAACTTTCGACTTCTTTCCGTTGTCGGGTTCAGTGCAGTTTTGATGTGTACCTGGGAAGCCGTCTTGTTGTACGTTTGCCGAGTAGCATGTACTGCACCTTTGACTAACTGGGCCGGACAGCGGTGCTTCGTACGGCCTCACAGATGGAGGGAAGGCAGGAATGATTTATACCTATCTCGGGGCAGTGATTGGCTTCAGCTTCGTGATTTTATCGATGGCTGAAATGGCCTCCATGTGAGTGATTCAATACAGGTGGATGTGTATAGTTGCTGACCACTTCAGGGCCCCGACATCTGGCGGACAGTATCATTGGGTTTCGGAGTTCGCACCCTCCAGTAAACAACGCTTTCTCAGCTATCTCACCGGTTGGGTGTGTGTCTTGGGCTGGCATACAGGAATCGCAGGCTGCTGCTACACTGTCGCCAACATGTTGGTCGGCTTACTCGCGATCAACTACCCTGACAGTTATGTTTATCAACCGTGGCATGTAACGCTGATCGTGATTGCTGCAGCTCTAGGGGCACTGTTGTTCAACACACTTTTTGCCCAGAAGCTGTCTTTCATCGAGGGTATTATTCTGATCGTGCATTGCTTTGGCTTTTTCGGCATCTTGATTCCGCTGTGGGTGTTGTCGCCCACAGCCCCTGCTTCGGAGGTCTTTGGCTCGTTTGAGGACAATGGATCGTGGGGTAATATGGGGCTTGCGTGCTTGGTAGGGCTGACAGGGCCAATCTACGCCCTTATCGGTATGTCGAAGTCTTACTTGGCTACCTATTTCTTCATACTGATTCAATTGTGTCATCTAGGCCCCGACTCTGCTGTGCACATGTGTAAGTTCCTTAGCCGTGGCCCCCGCCCCTTACTAGGATCTGGAACTGCATCTAGTTTCCTTGTCAAATACTAAAACCTCACCAGCCGAAGAAATCCGAGATGCCTCCCGCGTCCTCCCCGTAAGCATGGTTAGCACCTTGATTCTGAACGGGACCACTGGCTTCATCATGATCATCACCTTTGCCTTCTGTCTCGGCAACATTGAAGAGGTCATGGCCAGTCAGACCGGATTCGCCTTCATCCAGGTCTTCTGGAACGCCACTGGCTCGACCCGCGCAGCCACTGGGATGACGGTCATTATCATGATCATGCAGTTCTGTGCTGCCATCAGCAACGTTGCTACGACCTCGCGACAAATTTACGCATTCGCGCGTGACCAAGGCCTGCCGTTTGCTGGATTCTTCTCAAAGGTACAGCATCCGTTGCCCTACCCGAATCAATATCTGTTTGATCCCGGAACAGTGTGACAACGCAAAAGTCCAAAGATTAATGCATGAAAATCAGATTCACCCGACCCTCAAAGTACCTCTCAACGCCCTATGCGTCAGCATGGTTATTGTGATCCTCCTCTCCCTCATCAACATTGGTTCCGCGGTCGCCTTCAATGCCATTATGTCACTAGGCACGGCTGCCTTACTTTCCTCCTACCTAATTTCGATCTCATGTGTGCGTCTCCGGCGATGGAGAGGCGATTATCTCCCTCCGGCACGGTGGAGTCTTGGACGCGCCACGCCGTTTATCGACACCGTCTCAATCCTTGTGCTGGTTCTGATTCTAACATTTAGTTTCTTCCCTCTCACCAACCACCCCGATGCTGCGGACATGAATTGGAGTATTGTGATTTTCTCGGGGGTGGTGCTCTTGGCTGTGGGCTATTATATGCTATATGCGAAGCATCAATATCGGGGGCCAGTGACTAGGGTCAGAGCTGAATAGAGGCTTTTAGATGGAATGGATTAGTAGGTAGTATGCCTGCAATGAACAGCTGCCTCTCCCGCAGGGGAAAATGTATAGAAACCGCTACCTGACTCGGTCTGAAATGAATGGGATTTATTGCACTGTTGAATAGCGCGGAACTCATTATCCAATGGATTTGCTGCCCGCGGGCGCCTGTTTTGTTCTTACCGCTTGCGGCTAGGCATGTCTCCCCGGAGCTCACAGCTTGACCCAGGCCTCTTTCTGAATCTCTACTCATTCAGTACCCATCAGCTTGAACAGAAGATGAATGACGTCGTGCGTGGGTGTTGTGTAGGGGGGCCCCATGCTGACAAGTTGACAACTTGAACCAAGGATCTTAGGACATGATTATATATCAACATGTCGGAAACAGTGCACGAACCGTGGTTCGGCTACTGCACGAGACTCCCAGATCGGCCCAGATCGAGATCGAACACGACTGACGCCACGGAGCCAGGAATCCTGATAAGCAATTTGTCATGCACATCTGCTATCTGAAGAATGCTAGGATAAAGTCAAGCGAGGGCTGTTGGACAAGCATGGTGACCTTGTTTGTCCGGACATGAGATCTCAACCCATCCCATCCCAGGCGCCCAGATCAGCAACTTTCAGTCATGACGGAGACGATCAATCCTCAAATATGCGAGGCGAAGGCGCTCAAGGCCCTCATTCCGGGCCTTCTAGCAGAGAGTGCGGTTACAGGTATCACTCTCGATTTCGAACATCAATCATGGGTACGGTCGCTAATTTCATGAATGGTTCTTAGATGATGGACGCCTGCTCGTCGACCTACAAGAGAACTGTCCCCGGCTTGCGGGCTTCCTCGATGTCCTCCGGCGCCAGGCTGAGCATCATCGTCCCTGGATGCCGGAAGACAGCATGACGCGGTTTCCGCTCCGGTTGAATGTGGTCATACACGTCGTGGGGTCTCGCGGGGATGTGCAACCTTTCATTGCGCTTGGACAGGAATTACAGAGACACGGTCATCGCGTCCGATTAGCCACGCACCTAGTATTCCGAGATTTTGTGCGCGCTCATGACTTGGAGTTCTTCAACATTGGCGGGGACCCGGCGCAGCTTATGTCGTTCATGGTCAAGAACCCCAACCTGGTGCCCAAGGTGGAAGCGATCACGCAGGGGGATATTAGCCGACGGCGGAAGGATGTGCGAGAGATCCTTGGTGGCTGCTGGCGGTCGTGTTTTGAGCCCGGCGAAGGCATTCACCCCTTCAATCCGGCTGAGTGTACCGGTGCGCCGCCATTCGTCGCAGATGCTATCATCGCCAACCCCCCGAGCTTCGCACACATTCACTGTGCGGAGAAGATGGGGATTCCTCTTCATTTGATGTTTACGTGGGTTGTTCTAGGGTGGTGGTTGTTTTGTCGATAAATGCTTACATAGAGCACAGGATGCCATGGTCGCCCACGCAGGCCTTTTCACATCCACTGGCGAAAGTTCGCTCGACAAATACTAAATCGTCAGTAGGCAAGCTGATGTCATACATGATAGCGGAAACGGTGATATGGCAGGGCGTGGGTGACTTGATCAACGAATTCCGCCGGCATGAGTTAGGACTGGAGCGGCTGGATTCTATGCGTGCGCCCAGCCTTCTTTCTCGGCTGAGAATACCTTTCACATATCTTTGGTACGTACAATTGGAGGATATCTATTCGTTGGAAGCTCGAGTTAAACGGGGTGTTTAGGTCTCCTTCCCTCTTGCCGAAGCCTGACGATTGGCTCTACCATATCGATGTGGTTGGGTTCTCCTTTGTGCCGCATGATGACAAGTATGAGCCGCCTCAAGATCTAGTCGAATTTCTTGAAGCTGGAACACCACCGATCTACATCGGGTTTGGATCAATTGTCGTCGACGACCCGGAAGCACTCACGCAGACTATTCTCGAGGCCGTTCGAATGTCCGGTCAGCGGGCAGTAGTCTCCAAAGGTTGGGGTAATATCGGTGCTGATGAGGCTGATGACCCGAATGTGTACTTCCTAGGCAATTGTCCGCACGACTGGCTGTTCTCCCGAGTCTCATGCGTTGTCCATCATGGTGGTGCAGGAACGACAGCAACCGGGTTAGCCCTGGGCCGGCCCACTGTCATCGTTCCATTCTTCGGTGATCAGCCTTTCTGGGGAATGCTTGTTGCCTCCAATGGTGCGGGGCCTGCACCAATCCCCTTTAAACTATTGACAGCCGATAAGCTTGCGGGCGCAATTCGGCACTGCATGGAACCCGAGATCAAAGAACAAGCCAAGGTCTTGAGCTGTAAGATTCAAGCCGAGCAAGGTGCCGCAGCGGCAATGGACAGCTTTCATAAGCACTTGAGCCTGAATAGGTTGAGATGCGCTTTGTGCCCTGATCGTCCGGCTGTATGGCGGATCCGGCACACAAGCATTTTTCTCAGTGCATTCGCTGCTGCAGTCCTTGTCCACTCGAAGCAGCTAGACCCAAAGAACATCAAGTTGTACGTACGCTCTCTTGCACTTCCATGGTTTTTCTGTAGACTCATCTTCGACAGGCTTCGAATTAAATCCTACGATACGAACCTTGATCCGGGCGTTCCAGGCCTTCCCGGAGCTGAGATGTTCGCTGGGTCTCTCGCGAACTTCTTCACCGGCTTGGTCGAGATGCCCGTTCAACTAGTGCAAAACTTTGCACGGTCGCGTTCCATCAGATTCGCCGAGAGGTATAGTCTCTCGAGCTATTGCGCGACGCAAGCGCCGGTCTCCCCGTCGCGCTCGACAACTCTGGCAGATAAGTCTGAGACTCGTCAACGATCAGACTCGGGCATCTCCATCGCTCCTTCAAGTAATTCGCTAAAATCATCCTCGAGCCAGAGCTCCCTGGACATGCCGACCATGAACCGTGGCACGGCGTCTGTGAGTAACGTACTCATCAATTCTGGCTACACTGGGCGTCAATTGTTGGACTGGATCATTGAGATCCCAATGAGCGTTACATTCTTATTGTGCCATACATTCCACAATGCTCCTCGATTCTATCACGACCAAACTGTGAGAGAGGCACCCATAGCCACGGGAGTCAAGTCAGGATTTGTCGCAGCTGGCCAGGTCAGATTCGCGTATGACGTATCGCGTTGCCACAAATGGCTAATGTGTCACAGGAGTTCGTGTACAGCTGGTACGATGGGATCACTGGTGTCGTGACTCAACCTCATCAAGGATGGGATAGCAAAGGCGCTTCCGGTCTAGCATCCGGGGTGGGCAAGGGAATTGGAGGATTGTTGATCAAACCTCAAGCAGGTAGGCTTCAAATGGCTTCCCTGGTCTGACGTGCGCCAGACTGACTGTTACGTACAGGTCTATGGGGCTTGCTGGGATACCCTCTCAATGGGGTTCACCGCAGCATTGCTAATTCCTATGGGAAGAATCGACGATGCTGTGTAGTGAAATCACGCATTGCCCAGGGCATCGCAGAACTCCAGTTGGCCTCGGACGGTCAGCGAGCAGCCGTTCTCGCGCGATGGAAGGATCATTACGAACAGAAGGTCAAGGCTAAACTAGAAAAGAGAAATCGGTAGCAGAGCAGCATTTCAAGCGAGACCAATTCAGCATTTTTTCACAACGAACGATTTACAGATTTATTCCCTGAGCCAGCACATTCACCACCTTCTCTTGAAAGTCCAAGGCAAGCCCTGCATCTCCGTCGCGGAAATTTCCTGTCAGACAATCTATCGTGGCCTGGGCATAACCGTCGCCCATCTCCTTTGGCAGATTCTGCTGGGCTAGCGCAGTCAAATCCGAGGCGACCTTTTTAGGCCTTGGTAGTCGTCCGGTCTTTTCTGCGTCGCGGATTTTGGGCTCCATCAATCGAGACAATGTCACCCAAAGACCGATCTCTAACAGCACTACACCCAAGGCGTAAATGTCATGGCGCCGTTGAAACTGTCGGGTGGGCTTTCCCTGCCGTTCAGGATGACGGTAGAGGTTCGCTTCGGGCTCGAAGTCCCCACGCATGTCCGTGCCCTGTTGCTCGGACCGTGCGTAGCCCCAGTCACTCAGGTATGCGAGGATTCGTTCTTGAGACTTCGGGGTGTTTGACAGTCGGTGCGCCTGAAGACCCGAGGCGCGGACGCCTGCTGGAGTCTGCAAAAACAAGAGGATTCCTTTGCTCCAGACATTCTTGTGAACCCACTTCGAGGCATGAACATTCAGCAGGGTCACTGCGAGGCAATGCGCCATGCTGAACCTATCATTCAAGGATGGCCGTTTCAGTGGTCGTTTGTTCTCCCGATCTACGGCGTTGATAAAGCTATGGAGGGTGGTGAGTTTCGATGTCGCTGCTGTGTCTTGATACTGATCCACCTCGTCGGACGTTGGAAGCTTATAGAGGAAGACGTTGCGCTCCTCTTCCGGTTGGTCGATGAACCCTAGACACTCCATCGCATAAATCTGAGGTGGCTCCAACCCTGCTTCAGCCTCGGAGGACTTGTGGCTATTGAAGGTGCTGTTTTTCAGAAGCCAAGCTAGATTGCGAATGGGCTCCTTCAACTCTTCGATCTCATCGGGCTCCAGATCACCACCTTTTAACATGCCTTCATACTCATGAAATTCTATAACCACCGTCGTGCCGGATGTTGAGCCGGATGGCGTCCAGCGTCCCAGCTGATAGCCGCCCGACACATTACCTTCCTCACTGACTTGGCCTTCCAAGCTTTGAAAGTCGGCCGGGGCATGCGCTTCGACCAATTTTCGCCGCTTGATCACGGGTTCCAGCCCGGTCGCCTTCAGGCCCTGATCGTTCTCATCCACTACCCTGGACAGCGTGTCCTGGGACAGATGCTGCATCAAATTGCGCAAGTCGGCTGACCAGTCGGTGTAGGCTTCGAGTATCTTGTGCAGCCGTTTCTTGTCGAACAACGACCAATCGTAGCCCTTCAACTTCAGGGACATGGCTTTGATCTTGATGCGGTGCAGGAGTGATTCCTTGACCTGCTCGGGTTTTTCTAATCCTTCATCCTCATCATCGCCCATGACAAGGCCATACTTGACAGCCACAAGCTCATACTCAGTCAATGTCTTGCGCATTTGAACAAGCAGGCCCTCGATGGTCTGTGCAATGAAAGGGTCGAGTTTGCCCGGCAGGAGTAGGCCATGATCTGGATGAACAAAAATGCGACGGAAAAAGAGCAGGGTCGAGAGCTGCACGTTCAACTTCAGGCGGACTTGTGCTCGGTCCTCATCGAAGGACTTGATGTCGGAGATAACGCCTTGGATAAAAACGGTTACTTGGTAGGCTTGCGTGATGGCCGTTACCGCTGTGCCATAAACATCCATTTTGAGTGCGATCGCTTGGTCCTGGCAATTGATTGAGACCGAATGATAGATGAAAAGATCACAGACAGCACAGAGGGGAGGGGGTTGGGGGCTGACAAGATGTCATAAATGTCAGACGCGGCTGAAAACATGCCGGCTAATAAGCATAGTGAGAGGCTAAAATGGCTCTAGATCCATAGCGCCGCCACCGATTCGTTTACAGGCCGGTAGTGAAGAACAAATACTTGCTTCCCCCGCTTTGTGCGTCAAAAAGCATCATCCCTGACATTTGCACACACAGCCATGTCGGACGATGAATCTTTCGATCTTCTCTCCTCTCTGGATAATGGAGACCTTTCCCCATCATTGAGAGACTGGGCCTCCGGCACTGCCGATAGCTATGATGTGGTGGATTTGGACCTGGATCTAGATAGCCTGAGCCTGTCGTCGGTCCATTCTAGCGACCTTTTGGAAGCGGCAATTACTGCAACTCGGAATGGAGAGTCGGCTATTCTAAGTACAGTATCTCAATTTGCGGGCATATTGTCTCAGACTGGAATCCATGGACCGCGACTGCTGAAGGCCCTCAACCTGGCGACGCGAGCGACGAAGATTGGCGCTGGCTCTCAATTTACTGTCTTCAAGGAAAAGTCGCATGAAGGGTATACCGGAAATGAGGGTTTGGTGATTAAGCGGGTGAACGTGCCTCTCTCACGAAAAGCCGCTCAACGATTCGCCGACACCCCAGACTATCGTCTTCAGTTGCGCACACTGGGGCTAGAGCTACTCGCTCTCTGCAATCCGTCCCTGCGGCGTCACCCCAATATTGTTCGGCTTATCGCGTGGGGCTATGACTATCCGTTCGCTGATATGCCGGTTCCGGTCCTCTTCGTGGAAGCCGCTTTGATGCCATTAACGGACTTTCTCGCAGTTGGCAATGATTGCTCGTCCGAAGTCAAGTATCAACTAAGCTTGGATATCGCGAATGGAATAGAGGCATTGCACCATCTGCGTATAGTGCATGGAGATCTTAAGCCAGAAAACGTGCTTGTATTTGGCATGGAGAGCGAGAAAGTGCCATTCAGAGCTAAATTAAGTGATTTTGGGGTCTGCATTGATCTGGAGGCCTCTGACTCTCGGCTTACTATGAGTGACTATCGTGGAACGCCCGCGTGGCTGGCTCCCGAGGTGGCCAACGATGATTTAGCACGCTTCTGTCCTTTCAAGCCGGATCTGATGTTTCGATTCGATGCATACAGCTTCGGCCTGACGGTGCTATCCATGTTTGTCAATCGAGGAGAGCCGGTAGATCTTGACGAAACCCCCGAAAATGCAAGCGAGGAGATCTCTGACATGCTGTATGAGCGTGAGGACATTCCTTCCGCTTTGCGTATGGAGCTTCGTAAGGCGTTGCTCAAGCTTCTTGCGGAAGATCCCAGGAACCGACCGCTACCAACTTCTCAGCTACTGAAGGCGGATACCCCTGCGTATGCTTCTTGGTATGTGTATCACTGATATCTCCTTATGAAAGATTCTAAGTCCGTAGGTTATCTATTGCCAAAATCGGCAGTGAATCTGCTCCATATGTTGGCACACTCGACCCAATGTACAACAAAGGACCATTGTTTTGGTACCGACTCGATCCGTCCGTTCTGTCTGAGCTGGAAGCACAATACATGGCGGCGAAGCAGGGTGCGTCGGCAGAAATCCCGGGCGATGTTTTACTAGGAATGGCGCAGACCGTGACAGGGGCCAAGCCGTCATATCTTGACCGTCTTCTATTGTACGTGACTGACGCCGCAAAGGGTGGCTACTCCCCAGCAAGAGCCGTCTATGCTCAAATCATGACTGCTCATGACCTCTCACCCGAGTTCGACGCGAAGGTGCTGGAAGAATGGACTTTCCAGGCCGTTGCGGAAGGTTATCTCTTCGGTCCTCCATGCGCTCTTACAAATGAGAAGAGGGAACAGGCAAAGAGCACGTTTCGTCGCAATGGCGGATTATGTGCGGATCCCTTCCTCGGAAAACAGACTGTGGTAGATGCCGCACGGAGTCCCCAGAAGGCTGTCAAATGGAAGGTGGAACATGGGTTGGTAGTTGATCAGAAGGGGAATACCATTCTTCATGTCGCTGCCGCGTTGGGAGAGCTTGATACAGTTCAAGCACTCCTTGACGAAGCGAACATAGCTGTCAATGTGTCGAACGACAGTGGGGAGACACCACTTTACAAAGCATGTCAGGCTGGTCATGCAAGCGTGATCCAGTACCTGCTCCAAAGAAAGGCAGATGCGTCCCGTACAACACAGTTGGCTAGATTATCTCCGTTGCATTGGCTCTTCATGTTGCCGGATGAAGCCATCCACTTGATTGCTGAGCAGCTAGTTGCAGCAGGTGCTGATGTCAACGCTGTCATCCGACCCGTTGTGGGCGAGAACAGTGGAGGATTTCCAGAACGAATCCAGATCGTGCATTAGTGGGTTTCCATACGCCTTGTACTATTCTAGCCATTGCTAACGCTACGAAGCCCATTTGAACTGCCTCATGGAACGCCCCTGCATTGGGCTGCGACTTTTCGCAACCTAACAGCGATGAATGCTCTCATCGACCTAGGTGCTAATGTAAATGCCAAATATCATGGCTGTGATAGCGCAACCACGCCTCTTGCACTTGCTGCGTGGTTTGGTGATGTCGAAGTGGCTCAGACTCTCGTGACCCGTGGAGCTGATGGAAAGCTCATCGACTCGATGGGGAGAAACACGCTTCACAGCATGACCAGATACTTCCCTGAGCGACATGGATATCTCCCCCACCACTGGCACGCATGGATCCGGCACGGGAACTGGGAGACATATCTCGATCATATGAGCAAGCTAATTCGTCTGCTGTTAGATGCTGGGGCAGATGTAAATGCTAAGGACACGGGATATCCACCGCTCACCCCCATTGCTGCTGCTGTCGATCTGGGTGTCTGGAATGGTGGCGTAGTCAGTGCCCTGCTTGAAGCGGGTGCAGACCTTCAGCAATCAATCTTGTCAGCTGGAGACACTGGTATGTCCCGGGGCAGCTCCTTTGTCGCTTGTCGCATGAACTGACAGGAAGCGTAGTACTTCACTCGTGGGCGTCGATCGTGGGTCCCCGACTAGACTATCCACGCTCATACACTCCTACCCTCCGACGGATTGTCACTGCCATGCCCGATATAGACATCCGGAACAAATTTGAAAACGACACGTCCCTGCATTCCCTATCAACAACATATCACCCCGAGGACGAATTCGAACAGGCGTGCGAGATCCTGCTTGAGCACGACCCTCCAGCAGACCTCAACGCGCAGACCCGCCGGGATGCCACTCCTTTGTCGATCGCATTCGAGACCAAAGACGACCCAGCTAGGCGTGGTCTCTTCCTGTTACACAAAGGTGCCTCACCAACGCTTTTTACGGATCAAGGTAAAGATATCTTTTTCGCCATCGCCAACAATGCCATTCTTCACGATAAAGACACTTACGACCTGATCACCGCTGTCCTGCAATATATCTGTTCTGGCAGATCCGCCACAGAGAGTAAGGCGAAAGGCACCGGGGACATTCATGAGACTTACCAGAAACTCTTCCTCCCCAATCAGGGGGCAGTACACAGTCTCATAGCCGCCGTGGTCCGCGGCAAGGTCCGGACTACCACGCTGCTTCTTTCTTTGGGCTTGCGGTCGCGCCTGAATGACCTTGATCCAAGCAAGCCTCGTGGCTTTACTGTCCTCGATCATGCCCTGCACTCCGCCGAGCTCAGTCGCCGGGCCCATATGGAGAAACTGGCCATGTACAAACCGGGTCCAGCACAGCGGGCCGCTGTAGACGACCAGGTCGTCTATGACGATGGGCAGGGTCCGCCTGCTCGAGCTGCTGAAGCATACCATGCTTTTCCGGTGGTGCTGCGCTGCCTGTGCGAGGAAGATGCAAAGCGGGCTTGTGAGTTAGAGATGTCGGATAGCCATGCTGATGGTGCTGGTGCTGTAATTGACGGCACGTATATTCAACAGCAACAATGGTGGGATTGGACCTCCATCTATACATATAAGTTTACCCCGGTAACGCAGCCGCATCGGGATCGGTGGGAACTACTTTACGAGCTGGCAAGATATCCGGTCGGTTGGAAGGAGGAACAGATCGAGAAGTTGGCGGAGCGGTATGCAGCCGAAATCTGGAGGCCGGATACCCGCTTTCTGGAGGAAGAGGAGGACCGGCAATTTGTTGGCGCGGTGGTGGCTAAGATTGGAGTGGTGGATGGCGGTGGGGATGATGAGGGCTCGGTGGTGCGGTTAGAGGCAGTCGATCCGCTCAAGGGCAAGGTGGAGGTGACTGTTGGGGTTGCGGATGGGAGGGTGGTTAGCAAGACAAAGGTCAAGTGATGTGCTAGATGTATGTGCAAATCTGTTGTTGGATTTAGGTTGTTGAGAATTGACTTCGATGCAATTTCTAGACTGGCCCTGTCCAGTTTCTTGGAAGGGTCTTAGGGTGTCCGCCGTGGCATTGAGGATAGACGAAAGGCAACCCCGCTTCAAGACCCACTGGAAGCCTTCATTCAGTCCGTCTCTTATTCCATACCCTAGCTCTGCGACCAAATATGCGCCGCCGGTGATATCGGTGATGATAAGATACTCGGATTTTCAGATATTCCTGTCCACCGCCAATAAAAAGAGCAAGAACATGAAAGAGCAAAAAGAAATGGTCCCAGAGGGGCTCGAACCCTCGACTTTAACGTTATTAGCGTTACGCTCTAACCAACTGAGCTATGGGACCCAATTAATGTATTGAGCTTTTCCTGTTGTCAATATATCCTGTTGTTAAACCCTTGCAGCCAATGGTTCATGGTAGGTTGTGAGCAGCACACCAGTATGTGCGTACCTAGATCGAGAGTTGTTGGCTAAAGAGTAGTCAGTTTATCGAGATTTTATGTTGCAGGCAAATGAGCTTCCGACAGTGAAATTTACATCCATGGTGTGCTGTATCATCAATATCTGATATCATGCACTGTGGCGGATGTGGGTGAGCAAATATATACTGGCGGATCGTCTCAATTCGCAC